TACGGAGGTTTTTTTGTTAGTGAAATGTTATGTTCTCAAAAAGTACTTTAAAGTGTATAAATAAGTTACCCGGGCAACTGATTTACATCAGCCAATCAGACGAAAGTCCTCCTATGACCAATAATGTATACTTACGTTATCCATTCAGAATTAATTGTTTCACATGAAATCACATGAGCTTGTACTTTTATCAAATTCTACAAATCAATTGATTATCTTTTAAGAGTTTGTCAATAATTTTTAAAGCTTTGAATTGTTTAGATAATTTATTTTATCTCTAACACTCGGCATTTGGCTGGAACGCATTAACAAGGTGCTTATAGTATTCAATGATAAACTTTCACGGCACTAAAAGTTAAGAAATTGAATCGTCGTCATCGAAAATGGCTCAAGCTAACAGGTAAGATAGGATTCGTTAAGTAACTTTTTATGATATATAGTACTTATTACAAATTTAATAAAATTATTCCTGAAATCTTATCCAGGGTAGAAAATGACATGCAGTTCTCATACCCAGATGTACATTCAAACGTTGTATCAATTATGAATGCACTTTCCACACCGATTACTTATGAAGGAAGAATGCAAGATAATATATCCGTAAAAATGTTCATATCTATCTGTTATAATTTGCAGCCATCAGATCTTCTTGCTTTAGCATGTGTATGTAAAGATTTCAAAAATATGCTGGATGAGCATATTAATCCGTTGGCTGGAGAAATATGGTGTAATTCTAGAAATCAGTTTACTATTTTTAAAGACAAAGATCCTCCCGCAAGAATGAACCAACAAACCTTCTCAAGGTTATTAACATTTCAAAATGGCTGCCAATTCTGTAAGACTAAAGAAAAGACACCTATTATATATTGGATTCCTGGTGTGCGTTCTTGTAGAGATTGTATGCTTCAAAGAGCATTTAGGTAATTTAATTTACTGCCTTAAAATATATATATATATATATATACATATTAATAATAATTTGATTTTATTTAAAAATTTTTCTAATAATATATTTTTTTTATTAGTTTTAATGTATTTCGAGACACTTTTAATGTTGATAACGAAATTCTCGGATTTATTGCACCCATTATCCCAGATATATATTTACCTGATGTTCAAAGTGAATCAAAATATTATTGGATCAGTCATGTCAAAAACACTATCGCGTTTTTTATGGATGCTGATGATGATACCCGATCTGCATTGAATGACCTGAGAGGAGATATTGAGATTATTTCTAAAGAAGCTCAACATTATCATGAATGGACAAATCAATTATATCAATCTCAGGTTAAAGATCAAGGGATACTTTTTGAAAGATTGCTTACAGAAATCGGTCATAAACTCGATTATGAAACTTCATTTAAGCTACAAAATGATAAAGGTTACCAAAATTTGGTGCTAAAAATACAAACAAATCCTTTTTTGCTACATGATTGGCAAAATTATAAGATAAAAATTTTACAAATTGTGCAAAAAATTTCTTGTGATGAAATTACTATCCAAGAAGATCCCTTGATTACCTCATCTAATGGTACCACTAAACGAAAGTTTGATAATACACCGACTTCATCAAACGTTCAACAAGGATCTGCTAAAAAGCCTAGATCAAAAAATTCTCAATTGAATCAAGAATTATTGGATCCAAATAAAAGACGAACTAGAATTATCAAACGCCTAAGGAAATTAACATATGGTACCGTTCAGAAGTCAGAAGAATCTCTAATAAGCATCCGAGACCCGCTATATGTGTATTTGTCTATATGTCCAAGCTTCATAAATCCACCTATAGCTAATTGTGGATCAGAATATACCAAAGAATTTTTCGAAGAAACACTTATACCAACGCTCAAAAGAGAAGCTGAACAACTTCGCGCAAGTAATGTACCTCCACCACTCTATTTACTTGACACAAAAGGAGCGATAGAACTTGGATTCGGATGCGTCCCAATTTTTGGGTGTCTTCTTTGCACTTCAATTACTCCATGTGCTCTTAGAAAAATTAAGCATCATGTTAGAAGTTTTCATAAAATTGATAGTAATACTGAGAGGGTGATTTCAGTTGATTGTGATGCGATGATAACATATATGCATCTTGCATTTATTAAGAAGAAAAAAAAAAAGAAGAAGGATGATAATTAATTTATATGATTTTTTTTTTTCAATTTTTATCTTAGTTAAACTGAATACTGAAATATACCATGAATTATATATTTGATCATTGAATATGTATAATAAAAATGAAATTTGCTTTTTGGCAAAGATTTTATATCATGCGATATTTTGTAATTACCAATAATGTTTGAACATTTAAAGAATGCTAGAAATTGGTCTCAGAATTTAGTTTTAAAGAATAAGCACACTAATATAAAATAAATAATAAAATTTTATTTTGTATATACGTATTACGTTTTATACAAATATGTATCAGATATATATACTGTATATACTGTATGTATTGTTTATACGTAGATTACTACATTATTAAAAATACAGTATTGTATAACATAAATATACAGTATCCATCTCTATAATTATACTGTATAGTTGGTTAAGTATTTTCTTTTGATCATTAAGATACTCTCTTTGATTACCAATTTTTATTGAGATTTTTAAAGGAATAGTAATAAATAAGCACAACATTTATTAGAACATGTCTTATAACTGCTAATAAATTATTTAAATTTATAAATACAGTATACAACATTGTCAAGTTATTTAATCAAAAGAAATTCTTAAAATTATACTAGATGTTAGACCCGTTATTAAATGACAGATTAGATTAAACTTCTTTGTTACAGGTGACCCCCGATAATATCAACCTACGTTAATATCAACCTAAGCCACAAATCAAGTTTTTACAAATTTTTAT